TTTTTTTTTTTTTTTTCCATCGAGAACCGAGCGAAACGGTGTCACGAATAAAAGCGAAGCGTCAATCGAAATTTGTGTCCGTACGAAGATAGAACCGAGCGAAATACACGGGTGAAGATAGAAAGCGCGCGCTAACCAGCCTGGTTATCTCTCTAAGCCCTCCTCAGCGTTAATCTATCCGAAATATTGAATCGTGACGAGATTGACGAGTTTTCATTATTTTTTTTTTCTATTTTTATTTATTTATTTTTTTTCCTCCTAATTTTTTTCAACTCGACGATTTTACTTTTACTTTTACTTTTTTTTTTTTTTTTTTCTTTTTTTTTACGCCGCTCCTCTAATCAACTAAACTAAACCGAAAAAGATCAGCGGGGAAGAGGGAAAGGGAAGGGGGAGGGGGAGGGCACGACTTATTTACAAACTTCTTTTTAACAGGAATAAGACAAGAGCGAAGACGATCGGGTGCTCGAGAAACTAAACGAATCCTCCTCGATGAACGTTTTATCCCCTTTGCCACTCGAACCTCTTCTCGAACCTCGCATTTCTATTGCTCTATTGATCCTCGAACGTAGAGATACATCGCGGAGATCGTTCGATTTTGAAACGAACTCTTGAAAAAAAAAAAAAAAAAAAAACGAACATTTCTAAACGAACTCTGAAGGCGCGAGTTAAGATTACTCGCCGATCCTACCTAACGTAACGTAACCCTTCGTGTCAATCGTGGGAAATGTACGAAATGTATATCGTATACTTTTTTAATCTGGTCTATCGTGCAATACTCCCTCCGCTAACGAATAATTATATCGTTCGCAACGATCATTAACTCATCATCACCGATCGCTACTCGTTGCAAAATCGAGAACGCTTTGATAAATTTATTTATTCGTGTGCACGTGTGTACACGTCTCCTCGTTATTCTCTCTCGTTCACTCGCTCATTGTTTTTGTTTTTTGTTTTTTTTTTTTCCTTTTTTTATCACACACACATACGTACATACATATACACTCTCTGTGTCTCTCTCTCTCTCTCGTTCGTTCAACAATTTATTGCTTTCGCTATAATAATAAATCTCTAAAGTCCTCTAAAGCGTCGTAAGGAGAGATTATTAACATTAATGGCGCGTTCGAACCGAAAGGGAGATTGGGGATCCCCTCTGCCGGTTTCCAGAGAAAACTCTGAAAACGTTGCAACAAGCTTGTCGTCGATCCTCTTCTGGCGAATCGAGCGATCCCGTCGATCCTTTTCTCAATCCCTCCAATTTTTCAAATCGAATTTCTGAAAATATAAATATATTAATTTATTTTGTAAACAGTTAATCGTGAAGGTAGAGAGAATTCTTTTTTTTTTTTTTTTTGACGAGGTCGATTTCTATTACCCGAATCGATTCCCTCCGACGCAAGATCGCTCGACAATTGTTGAAGAAAAATAATTAAGCCCTTGTCGCGTTTCCTCGCTCTTCACGTCCCACAATCACACCACGCCGTATCTCGTATATCCAATGATCGATTTATGAGATGAAACCTGACGTTGTCGGCGAACGATCGTCCAAGCCTGATCGCCATCACCAGGTGGTGCACTTGTTGGGGGGGTTCATTTTCGTTCCGAGCGGGCAACGGAACGCGTCCGCGAACGCTTGAGAGTTCATCATTATACCGTTGACTCTGATGTTTCAAAAAAGAAATCACGAGATATTATCGATATTATCGAATGTTTCGTTCGATAATAAGAGAAAGAAGTAGTGGCGGATTATGTTAATCGCGATCAATACCTTTCGGGCTGAGGTGTGTGGTAATCGAGCTCAACGGAAAGAATGTAGGCCTCGGCAGTCATGTTGGAACAGTAAGTCTGGAAAGGAAGATAAGAATCAAAAAAAAAAAAAAACTTCATCATCTTCTTCTAATTCTAAATTAAAAATCCTAAAATGCTGCTTTAAGTTAAAGAAATTGATAACGCGTGTCAATACGGCGCGAAAAATCGAAGAAGATCCCCTTCGTGACGAATATTGATTTTCGATAAAGCAACAGAGAGAGAAAAAAAAAAAAAGGAAAAAAAAAATAGTCGTAAAAATGCAACGAAATTCAAAATGGCTGTGCATACTGACGACAACGCTTGGATATTGGACCGCGTATACGCAAAAGGGAAAAAAGGGAAAATTCTTTTTCTTGCAAAAAGCCACGTCAACCTCCACGTCGTAATAGGAAATTGAACGCGTGACGCGTACGTACAGTCGGCATACGTGGAACGACACGTGGAATTTAAAATATCTCGATATAGGAAAGGGGAGGAAATAATAAAAAATTTGAAGGAAAGGGGGAAACCAGCTAATCTCGAATCGATGAAATACCGGCCGATCCGTTTGTTTACCTGGGCGGCGCTTATGAAGAAAAGCTGGCTCGCGCGAAGTCCCTCCAATCCTGGAAGACTTCGATCCTTGCCGTTCGTCAAAGTGTGCCAGGTTTTATACGAAATCTGCAAGGCTCCGATATCAGCTACGTTCTCGTTCCTCGTCACGTTCCAATCAAACTGAAACACGTTTCATCCCTTCGATTTCACGACCGCATACGACAAATTTACAAGGGGATATATATATATATATATTTTTCCCAACCTGTACAGCAACGTCGTTCCCGTAAAATTGAACCTTCCTCCAGAAACTCCTGGCGTAAAGCCTCGCCACGCATTCGATCCTCGCCTCCAACCTCTTCCAAGACTCGGGCGTGATCCAGAGCCATTGATCGACGTTCATATCGGGATCCAATGGCAGTCGGCGTCGATGGAGGTCGAAAGCGTGGAGGATCTCGTGGCCGATCACGGATCCGAGGGTCGCGTGCGCTGCATACGCTGGTCCACCGTCCCAGGACCACGACCAGGCTGTCATCATAGCCAGTGGGATGCCTGAAATCGACGAGCTACTTTTCCCACCGTTCCTCAAAGAATGGAACAATTGGTTCAAAAGTTTTTCGTTTTTTTTTTTTTTTNTTTTTTTTTTTTTTCTTTTTTTTTACCAATCGTGTTCGTCGATGATTCGTAGTAGGCGTTCACGCTGTAGGGATGACGACGCCTGCGAAAGTAAAGAGAAATTCGTTTATATTCAAAGTATTCGCGCGTTTCGAGTAAAACGTTGGACAGATGAGGCGGTTTCTTACTTCTCGGTCACGTTTCTCCTCAAAACCTTGTCGTCGACGGTGCGAATCTGTTGGAACCGTCTCAACACGGTGTGGAAAAAGTCGTCCGGATCGATGTCCACCTGTCGAAGGCAACAGAAGGGGAAAAATTTAGGGTAATAAATAGGTATCGATACGCGGTTGGAATGTGAAGAAGAAGCCGCTCACCTCGGCCATTTCTCGGGCCAGTAAACTCTCGTTGTAGAAACCAGGCCACACGTGAAATCTTCCCCGCAACGAGTTCAACTTCAACAACGCCTGCGTCCTCGTCTCCTCGTCCAGCCAAGATTTCACCAAAATACGCTCGGCTACTGTCTCTTTCACGCGCTCGAACAGCCCCCCCACCTGTTCGCGACACCAATAAAATTTGTTTCGTGCGATGGAGGAGAAGGAAATATTTTTATTTTTCTTCCATCTCTCGTCTTAACATTTCTAAGATAACTAAGCTAACTAAGAGCGTTCGTTGGTGTTCGTGCACGAAAACGAGACTATTTTTCATCGCCTTACCCTGTTCGCTAGGGTTTCTAGATATTGAGGCGTGTACTGCTGCACGTAGAGAGCGCCCACGACTTCACCGAACACATCCTTGGTCAGTTTGAAACAAGAAAGCTTCCAATCCTTGCTCCCCGTCACGTTCACGATGTCGTGGAGAGTGTCCGTCGCGTACAGCAGCAACAATCCATTGTGAATAATCCTTCGTAACAAGATGCCCTCGTGAGTATTATTCTATTAAAACCTTATTTACGTTTACGATCCATCTCTCTTTCTCTCTCTGTTTCGATCAATCCTCGATCTAGGATCGGCCATAACTTTTTGTAAGGATGAAATAACGAGCCTGCGAGAATAGGCACCGAAAAAAAATATATATATATATATATATATTTCGTCGGAAAGTATAATGGCCTCGTGGCTATAATAATAATGAACAGCTGGCAGCGAGAGCATAACGAATTAACGTTATCGATTCCATCGAGGCTCTATGGTCACGCTACCATAAATACGAAGCCATTTAAACGAATTCGAGGATATTCTTTATGCCCGTGATAATATTATACGCTCTTTAACTTTTAAACTCGTGATCCTTTTATTTTTAACTGCGTTTTTTCTTCTATGTATTTTATATACATTGAGATGTATCAAGATCGTGCTTTCACAAGTCGTTCCACTACTATGATAAAATGGTACTTTTAAATTTTCCTTATGGTTATGGAGGTATGAAGAAGTATCTAAGTGGAAGTCAGTGATGGGCAAAATTACAAATAAAATTATTTGAAAAACGTAATAATAATCGCGAATAATTATATGTCGAACTGTCGAGGTTTTTACTAAGAACGAATCAACTATAATAGCTATATGATAAATGTTATTCGAGCATTTTAATATCAAATGATTACTTGAAATAACTTTATTCGATTTTTCAACGAGTTAATGCTCGATTTTGGGATTAATAATTTCCAAAAATATTGGAAAATATTTTTTTTTTTTTTAATGTACGACGATAAAAATCTTTTTAGACCGGGGACAACGATAATTTCCGCGTACATGGAAACAGCATTGGCGCAGATGCGCCAAAATTTTCTGACGAAGTATAATGGACGAATTAGGCACCGATTTACGATGCATGCTCGCCGCTGGTATCAAAATTTATGATCGTGCTATACGTTTATTAAACGCGGTGCTACGACACCGTGCGTACGAAATTCTCTCCTCGTAAATGTTATACATTCCCCCACACCCCGATACCATCCATCTATTAACAAATCTTCGCGACACTTTAACCTTACCTTTCGTTTCCAACCACTTTTCGAAATGACTAAAAATTACCGCGACGCGATTTAAAACGTGATTCGAAATTAACTTAGCGCATTTCTTTATACGTAATCGAAATTAATGGAGGGAAAATTGGAAAAGTTTAGATATTCAATATTCACGAGACGTTGCAAATGCGCTTCGAAAAAAGCGGAACTTGGTTCGTAAGGACGGATAGATGGTTGGTTGGTAGAAATTGGCGAGTGTCTCGTTCTCGTTCCGCGAAATACCTTCGACAGTAATTATCGCTGTAGCTGTATCCGCTCCCTCCATTTGCGTAGTGTCTGTCTAAGAGAGATAATAGCGAGGAACGAGCGTAGGCTGCCAAGAGTGGCGTTTTGGAATTCTCGAATGTTTGCTCTCCTATCGGCATGCTCCGCTATTGCTGATATTAGGAATAAATTGGCAAAGTTCGAAGTCCACGATTTGTCACCACGTTCATCCATTTAAATAGGAAATGAGAAAATTACGCGAAAATTGTATCATTTACTATTGTTATATATTATAATTGTGGAAAAATCGAAGGAAAGTTTCCACATTGTAAAATGTTATCTGTTGCTTCGTGCTTTGCACCGATCGAAAGAATTTCAACGTTCTTTGCTGGAAAGATCCGCGTTCCACCGTGTTCACCGACCGAATAACTCGAGTCGAGCCGTCTTCCAGCGAATACCGCCACCACAACCACTTATTTTATCTCTTTTCGCATCTTTTTTTTTTTTTATTGTTAAACAACTCGATCAAGGAAATCGATTTACCAATTGAATTCGATCTCTCGTCGAAATAACGAGATATTTCTCTCTCTCTCTCTCTCTCACACACATATACAAATTTACTCTTCTAAACTCGTTGAGAGCTTCTATCGAAATTTTTCGACAAACGATTCTCGAGCTCGAGTTACCACTTTACGAAGAAAAGCAAAGCGTCCGTCTCGTTTTTCACGCTTCGAAATTGTATTTTTCTGCCGCCCTTCTTAAAACTGTCACGCGTAACTTCGATCGAGGGTGCGAATTCGTTTCGATAGTGACCGCTTGAGAGGAAGTTGCGGTACGCGTATATGCATTATGCAAATGCAAATGCCAGTGCCATCAAAGTGAAATTCGGCTCACACGGAGCGTGAAAGTCAACGAAGCGTGGTGAGAACCTCGTTTCGTGCGATCGGTTTACGATTCGTGGTAATCGATGTTCAGAATATTACTTCCTCGCGCAGAGTTGCGGAATTATCGGGAAAAATATGGAATCGTGCGGCTAATAGAGGAGTTTGAAAGAATTTGACGAAACTCATCCACGTATTTTATCTTTAAAATACGTTAAGGTCTCGCTTCTCTGTTTTTTTAATAACTTTTTAAACGTTCAACGGATTATTGAAAACGAAATTTCCTTAACAATACAATATCGTATATCAGAGTTATCCCTGTTCTAAATTCGATAATTAATTATGTCCGTTTGAATTATAAATTTTGGAAATTGTCGAGTCATCGAGACTATTATCCTCAAAGAGCCTGCTTTTGTTCCATTCGACAAAAGAGAAATTATGGGGGGATTAATTGGGCCGAACGAAAGGCGAATTAATCGTGTTTCGATTCTCTCTTTGTTCCTATAAAGTGCCTCGATTATCGAACGATATATCAATTTTCCCCCGGCGAATCGATTCTTCTTCTTCGCGCTGCGAAGACGAGTTTCTCTTTTTTCAAACCCTTTCACAGGGTCGAGGATCGAGCGGTTGTCAGAGAATCGGGGAGGAAATGTGCGAGGGAAAATTCGCAAAAATCGTAGAAACGAAATCGTTCTTCCCATCGAAGTATCGAAAAATCGAAGACTTTAAGAAAATTATTTTAAAGAACAAGAATTCGACGCGATCTTGCCAGGAGGGATGATGCTGACGGTCGACAATAATTTTACCACGACAAAAAATTATCGTCATCAGTTTCTAAGCAACTTTCCACGCTTGCAATCCGTCACGATGTCAAATGACACCGCGTTTCTTAATAGACTCCTCGTGCACTCGACATTCGATTCATATTTCCCGTCGTATATTCCTTCTTCATACCTCGAATATCGAAAGTAAACGCAGTTCAACGCAATAAAACCTTCCGATTGGCCGCGTTTTACGTCCCATTAATATCCATAATTCGTTAGTCGATTCATTGGCCGAATGGCCGATATTTACTCGGCTCGAATCCTCAACTTCCGGTCTATCGACCGGAAAGCTCGTTATCAATAATATATATGTATGCATACACGCGTATTTTGAACAACAGCCAGCCAGAACTTTTGTAGAGCACAACCGTTATTTATCCAGGGAAAACAGGACAGAACTAACAGTTCAGCCTCGCGTTTATAAAATTATCATCGGCTGTATTAGCTGATATAACATTTTCCGATGGTTGTTGACGAACGTGCGGCGAAAGGGGAGCGGATACTACGTGTGAATATTTCAATCCATTCATCATAATCATAATAATTCAACCCGATTTACGCGCCCATTTTTACTCACGTATTTCGTCGTGTGAATTATTTAACGTTTACGAAGAATCCATTTCCATCGGATAAAAATGTCCACACTGGTTTCCTCCCATAAAGAAGAAAAATTATCGAAGGGATTCGATAGGGATGTTATCGAAAGTAATTTCGATAGGAGGAGCGATCGTAAAAATTGCAGGTGCAGTTACCTTCCATCGTTATTTTTAATGTCGCAGGCGATTCCGTTAATAAATAGCGACTGCCTGCGCCATCGTAAAAAAAAAAAAGAAAAAATGCCGTTTTCCTAATATTTTCTCGCTTCATCTTCGGGAATAATATTTTTTGTTGCGATTCTTGATGAAATAGAAAGTGTAATTTCCTCTAGACACTAAATCTAAATTTCAAACTTTATCCGTTTCGTTTACCCACGTTTTGGAATGATAAAGGACGAAGGTCTCGAAACAATGGTTTCGTTCGCGAATAATCATTTGTTCAAATCAAAAGATCAGCATTCGATTGCTGGCGAACAGCTCGAGTCTTTAATATCCACTTAATTTTGCCAAAGAATCGAATTCGCCCTTTTGTGGCAAAAATACGAGCCAATGGACATCAAAGTCTGAGGAGCCATATTTTCGCGGATAAATTGCTCCCCGATCTTTCAGAAAACCAGAAATTCGCAAAAAAAAAAAAAAATAAAATAAAATATCCCTTCGCCGTTAAAATTTCTCGCGAGCTCGCATTTTTCCAAAAATAAAGGAATTTTTTTTGAAATAAATTTTCAAAAAAATTTCTTCTCGATCCTCCTCCCGCCAGTTTCTCCTCGGTTTCGACGTTCGAAACGGAAAGATAGCGGATGTTTTCAGGATGAATTCGTATCGTAGCACCGCTCACCTCCTGGAAAAGCGATTCAGCAGTTTGCCAAGGCTGCGGAAGTAACGCGGGGCGGTAACGTAAACGTAGACCAGCTGATCCTCGTAGCCGTAATGGGCCCGATCCCGATTGCGGCTGCTGTGATTGTAAAGATCGGCAGTGGCAGCGCCTAGAGTGGCGTTCAGCAGCGTCCCCCACCTTATCTAACCCGGGAACGAACGGGACCAAGTCACTTTTCCTCTCAAAAATCGCCTACGTGATCGCGATACAATAATGTGTTCGACCTTTTACTCACATAACCGAAACTCTCCTGGAGATAGGACATGTTGAACGGCACGTACACCCTTTGGTCCACGTCCACCCAATTGTACAGATCCTTGTGCTTCGGATATATCTGGGGATCAACATTTTAATCGTGATGAATAAATTCAAGCCTTCCTTTTTTTTTCTTAGTTTTAGAAGGCTTGAATGATTATTATTTGGGTAAATCGTGATGAATAAACTCAAGCCTTCCTTTTTTTTTCCCTTAGATTTAGAAGGTTTGAATGATTATTATTTGGGTAAATTGTGATGAATAAATTCAAGCCTTCCTTTTTTTTTTTCTTAGATTTAAAAGGCTTGAATGATTATTATTTAAATAAATCGTGAATAAATTCAAACCTTCTTTTTTTTTTCTTAGTTTTAGAAGGCTTGAATGATTATTATTTGAGTAAATTGTGATGAATAAATTCAAAAGCCTTCCTTTTTTTTTTCCTTAGATGGCTTGAATGATTATTATTTGGGTAAATTGTGATGAATAAATTCAAGCCTTCCTTTTTTTTTTCTCTTAGATTTAGAAGGCTTGAATGATTATTATTTGGGTAAATCGTGATGAATAAATTCAAGCCTTCCTTTTTTTTTTCTTAGATTTAAAAGGCTTGAATGATTATTATTTGGGTGAAAAAAAAGGTATTTATCCTCGCTCACCTTGCTGAGAGACAGACAGAATTGTAACAGCAGATCGGTCTCCGATGCGCGATCTTTCGGATCCATACTCTTCGGCAGGAAACCTTCGACGATTCTGTGAATCCTTCTCGATCTTAGCTCCTCCATCTTACTCTGAAAATAATAACCGTCTGCTCCGTGAAATCGTTCGATTACGACGAACCGTTTCCCGTGTATTTAATCGGTCGAGCGCGTGTAAACTGTGCTCAGAGGTGAAGATATTCGCTTCGAAAGGATCAGCTGGTATCCCTTGATCGTCGAAGGATCAGGATCGTGAAACGGAAGAAAGGCGTCGTATATACGTCTTCATCCGCGGAACAAGAAGAAGAAGAAGAAGATCGATGATTCTCGAGAAGGCGAAGGGTCGAAGAAGCCACAAACGGCGAAGGCGAAAAAGCCTCGAAGATATTCAAAAACTTTCGCGGCGGGGAAATGGAAACTGCATTGTTTCTGAAAATACGAGAATCCAAGAAGTTCGAAGTTTCGTGATTAAAAACTCCGATCGTTTCGAAAAAAAAAAAAAAAAAAATACAGAGAAACAAAAATTCGATCCAATTCGCGCGATATCCGGGGAAACTTTTACGAATGGAAAAATTGAATTGGATTAAATCGTTTCTGAAAATAACGGGGGGTGAAGCGAAGTATTCAATCGATTCGACCCACGACGATCCAGAAAGAGAATCGAACTTTAATAAAAATTAATCGAACAACACGATCAAGTTTCCGAGAAGAAACTTTCCCGATAAAAAATTAAATCGTCGTAAATTGAAAATACAATTCTTCCAATGATTCTTCTTTCTTTATTCGGACGCTCTTCTTCATCGCTCGAGATACGAATCGATAGAAATTTTTAGACGCGGACTCCACTCGGAAGAGGGACATAGGAATTATTCGAGCGTAAATAATTTCGCAAGAGATCGATGGACGCTTCCGGGTATTCTCGAAGAAAACGAGAAGGGTATAAAGAAAAAAAAAAAAAAAAAAAATGAAGAAAAAAAAGGAAACGATCGAAAGCAACGTCGATAAGACTGTTCGACACCGACAGGCTGTGTTCCTCTATCTTTGCCACACTTTTCTCACACCGGGAACTTTTCCGCTCGAGGAAAGCTTTAGCCCACCCACGGGAATTCGCCCCTCTGTTGGATGAACTTCTCGAAATGCTTTCGTATATGCAACGTAACGGCACGACTATCGAGCAGATTTCTCCCTCCCTCCCTCTCTCTCTTTCTCTTCCTCCTCCATTTATTCCTCCCGAGTGGGAACAAGTTTTCACGCGTCCCCCTGAGAACGTGGAAACACAGAGCACGCCGAAATATCTTCCGCTGAGATATCGTTCCTCGCCATTTTTTTGCAATCTCGTACTTTTTACAAGAGTACGATGATTCCTTGGAATATTTGTTCTTCGACCATATTTATATGTATATATATATATACGATCACGAATCAGAATCGTTTATAGCCATCATCTTTTATACAATCCGATTGAAAGAAGAGGAGAGCATTGCGATTTCATGCAAGATATCTTCTCTTGCTCGTCGAACGAGCATCTTTCCACGCGATAAACCGGAATCATACGTTTAAAGCGCGAGGGATACGAAGAAAAATATTGTAATTTCCGTTTTATTTCCAACTTGTATAGAGAGATTCGCGAAATTCCATCTCGATTTTCAATATTCAATTCCAAGGATTTCTCCTCTCCTTTCCACCATCCCTTTGATCACGCGTCGAAGAACGTCACTCGAACGGCCATTCGACGGGGATCGAGACGCAACTCGACACTGTTTCCAGTCATCCCCTGTCCGAAATCGGGCATATATAACGCGATTTTCAATTGGATCAAAAGAAACGCCGTCGAGTATGAAGTATAGGCTCTTATCGCAACCTGCGAATTCCTTCTTTCCTCTTGCCATCAAGATGTGCCATCAAGTACCAAGTCGCGCTCTCCTCCTCTTTCTCCGCGTTTTATTCACTCAGCGTGCACCACATTTCTTTCTCCGCGAAAAAAGAAGAAGAAGAAGAAAAAAAAAAAATAGAAACGCGACCCAATTCCACCCCAATTTTCGCATCGATCCCTAGTTGATATGGATCCTCGGCCTATCCTCCACGTGTTCCCCGCCATTTCTTTCAATAATAAATGAAGCCATGGAGGGGGAGGAGAGGGGACACAATGGTATGGTAACTAAAGCAATATCCGCCTGTTCGTGTTTTTTTATTCGCGCGGAGGGGAATTGGAAAGCGCGATCGAGGATCCCGTGTCGAAACGAGGCGAAGAAATCGAGGAAGATCCTGTCCCGAGGAAAAATTCATTCGAGAGAAAAGGGGTGGTGAAAGAGAGAGGAGGGGGGAGGGGGATACGTCTCAGTTACGTGGAGATTGGCAATCGGATATTCCGGATATCCATTGGAAACTCGGCCCACTTTGTTCTCTGCTGATGGAAATTTTGAAAAAGCAATTTTGCCGATCTCCACTTTTGCCGAATTTAGAGACGGGCGTGGTGGAGGCTTCGCCTTCGAAGTAAGGTAATGAGAATGAGAGGAGGGAGGGAGAAGGAAGTCGAAGAGAGAGGAAGGTTCCAGAATCCGGCTGGGTGGATTCTCGAGGACGAACTGTAAACGAACGGAGGCAAATTAATTAGCTTAGCTGGCTCGATTGTTCGCAATGCTCTAGAAGAAGTGTATCAACGCGGCAAACTTTTCCTTTCTGTCTGAAATTTTCACTCAATCGATCGAAAAAAAATGTTAAGTATTTTGAAAGAAAATATTATATTTCGTTAATTCGAAAAATTAACGCTTAAAATTTCATTCGGTGTTGACGAAATCGTGCTTTGGAAATTTTGGAAATATGTTATCTCGTTAATTTAAAAAATTGATAACATTTAAAATTTGTTGAATGGATCATCAATTAGGTTCGATTTTTTTTCTCTGGAAATTTTGCTCGAAAAATCGAACGAAGGAATGTAAAACGTAGATCTCGTTTAATTCGAAAAAAATTAAACCTTTAAAATTTTTTTCTCACTCGATGAAATTTCGCCCGTGGAAATTTTAAAAAATCGATCCAGGGAAGAACATTCGTTCGATATTCAAAAAAATGTATAAAATGTTCAAAATCTGATTTTGAACACGACGAATTTTATCCAACGATTGAAATTCTCATCGTTCGTTTAAAAATTTTTACCAATGAAAACGAGGGAACGAGATTGGAATATAAATTAATAAGACGAATCGAATAATTCTCGAGCGAAACGTCCTTATTCTTTATTCTCGCCGGCTTAACTTACTTACTTTCTAGGAGGATCTAGAGGAAACGCGGTAAAAATATACGTAAAACAGCTTACACGCCCGTGATATAAAACGGCGAAACGGTGAATTTATTAAATCCAGGCTGCGACAAAGCCGGCTTCGCGTGGCCGCTCATCGTTTTCAGGAATTAAGCAAAATGGGCTCTGTGTTCGTTTGCTGTAATTAGCGGAACAAAGAGCTCGGCGAAAATTGCGTCTCGTTTTGGTTTTCATAAACTGGCTTAATGTAATTGCCACGCGGTATGTAAGGATATACGTTTCACTTTGAAGAAACACGTCGTTTTCTCCCCTCTCTGCCTGAACAAATTTTTATCTTTCCTGACGAAAACGTCTTTCCCTTTGAAAAAGGGGTCGACGAAGTGACTGGAGAATTTTTTCTCGACTTTTCAGAAAAATAAAAGAAAAATCTCCTTTTCTTGGCGCTTTTCCAATACAACAGTACTAAATATTGTATTTCTCGTATTATTCAAACGGATCTTCTTTTCTTAAACAAGGTCCATCCTGCAGATCAGATCGCGCAATATAGAACGGATTATCAAAGATGGAACGCGACATAGCGGGGAATCCTCGAGGCAGCTTCTGCTGAGGCCACGTGGGATCATTAATTTAAATTTCAATTCGATTTGCATGTAACGCGTCCCCCACAAGCGCCGGGGGAAGAAATCGTCGTGGATGAAGAGGAAACGGGTGGATGAAGGGAACGGCTGCTCGGATCGGCGTCTAAATCCACGACTATTTGAACGGGCCCAGGATGCATTTAGTCGAATTTCCAGGCTTAATTAGAGTGACGGTGACGAAATGGTGGAACACGATGGCGGATATGAAAGCGAGCCGAGTGGCTGTGAGGTCGGGGATGGGTCGAGAATAAATCGTGGATGAATAGTTTCACGGACCAGACACGGCGAGCTTCCCCTCTGTATCGATTCGACGTCTTTCGAGAATTAATTCTACAGGTTAAAAACAGGTATAAGTTTTAATATATCGATATTTTCGTCTACTTCGTATATTCGTGCGTTCTTGCCCCTAAAATCGAGTGTTCAAAGGTGAACAATATCTTGTATATCGGAATATTGGACGAAGAACGGAAAATTTCCCGGGAAAGGAGACGGTAATGCCATTTTCATAAGTCAATTTCGTTTCGAAACGTTCCATAAGCGAAACTCGAGGGAAAATATCCCCTGTTCCACGTGCTGTGTATTTAGGCTTTTTTAAAAGTTAACTCGAATTTCTTCTAGAGAAGGCTATCTGCAATCGATCGTATTATAGTATTCGATGTATAATATCTTCTTATTTAATAGTGCAAAGGATATAAAAAAAAAAAAAAAAGAGACTCGAGAGTGACCGATGAGAATTCAAAATCTTCAAACATTCGAAAATTTATTGAAACATGCGAATGTAACGTCGCGAGTTTAAATCCGCGCCAATTTCCCTTAAGTTTAAATGTCTTCCGTGCAACGTTTGCTTTCCACTCCTCGCTCAAACAGCCGCGAGATGGTTTCATTTGTAAAGCGAGGGGGAGGGATTTGCCGGAAAGGCAGAAGCGACAGTCATATTTACCGCGATAAATCGGCGGAAAAACTGCTTATTACGCAGATTCATCGCGGAACAAAGTTTCTAATCCCTCGCGTATATCTCGCCAGTTGAAAATTGTCGCTCTACGTTACCTCGATCGAGTATCTTGACCGCGCATCGATACCCTCTTTTTTTCTTCTTCTTAGTTAGTTTTTTCTCTCGAACAAGGAAAGGAGAAATTACGAGATCGTTACGATAAAACTTTCCTATGTAAATAATCGGGAATAAAATATGGAAAAGTTGA